GTCTTTTGGAGTGTGGAAGATTGCTTTAAGTTTGACATCAAAGGCAGAAATTACAAAGATTTACACATTTGATAAAACTACTAGATAACTTAAGAATGTGAATTTAATCAAACTATTAGATAAATTATCTAATAATTATATTACCTATAACTTTAATATATTGTTAAAAAGTTAAAAGATAAATGACAGAATAGAAAGAAGTTGGCACTCTCTATATAATGCTAGACTTTGTTTCATGAGTAAGCACTATACCCTTAATGCATAGCACAGGGCCTACCACACAGTAGGCCTTCAAAATATTTGATTAACATATGAATGAAGATGAATTAGGAAAATAACCATATGAAAAACAATCTTAAAATATCTAATAGGAAAATAGTCCAACAGCCTGTATAGGCAATTGATAAAAGAGAAAAAAATAAACATTTGAAAAATGTTTTCCACTTTACTAGCAATAGAAAGTGTGAAAAAGAAATGAGCATCTATCATGTTCAATAATGCTGGTGAACATCTGGGGAAATGAACTTCTTACAGATGCTGGCGTGAAGGTTAATTTGTATAATCTTTCAGGAGGGCAACCTGGCAATACGTACAAAAGCTTTAAAATTTTCCACACCCTCTGATCCAGTAGAAAGCTGGACTCTCACCTAAGGATATATTCGTGAATGTGTACAATGATTTGAAGATAAGGATACTGATTGTGTCTTCATTTATAATAACAAATACTTGGAAATAAATATCCAAAAAAGGTGGATACACAGTGAAACACAATCTTTTAAAATGACATTAGGCAAGGACATGCGATGGTGTGAAAATCTACTCCTTGAATGTGGTGAAGTGATTAAAAAATAGGTTTGAGCTGAGAGGCATAACAGGACCTCCAAGAAACAATCAATTAAAGAAGTTCTCACGGTTCCTTTAAATCTGCTTTCTCAGATCAGACATTCTAGATTCCTTCAATCACTTGTCCTTGGAAGATGAACACATTTTCTAAACTCAAACAGTGGCCCACGTGTGTAGGAAGCCTTGGGGACCATCCTGGAAAGACACTTCCTCACTTAGTCTCTGTCCAGTGTGTTCTGCTTTGGCAATGTCCTCTTTAAAGCATAGGTCTAGCCAGTGACTTTTAATGTTTACAGGGACACCATGGAGATGGTGAACAATATTACCAAGTTAATAGAAGCTTATTAAGTAGAGAGGATTGGAAAGGAATTCAAAGCACAAAAATTAGAATGTGAAAAGGTACAGAGACAGGAATGTCCAGGGCTTGATGAGGAATTAATCCCTCCTAAGGAGTGTACCTGGGATAAGTAGCAGACTAAGTAGAACAGTAGGCCTTTCTTTTCTTTCTTTCTTTTTTTTTTTTCTTTTAAAGAGAGAGAGTAAGAGAGAGAGAGAAAGACAGAATTTTTTAATATTTATTTTTTAGTTTTCAGCAGACACAACATCTTTGTTTGTATGTGGTGCTGAGGATCGAACCCAGGCCACATGCATGCCAGGCGAGCACGCTACCGCTTGAGCCACATCCCCAGCCCTTTTTTTTTTTTTTAATATTTAGTTTTTAGTTGTTGGTGGACCCAACATCTTTATTTCATTTTTTATGTGGTGCTAAGGTTCGAACCCAGTGCCTCACATGTGCTAAGTGAGCACTCTACCACTGAACCACAACCCCAGCCCAGAACAGTAGGCCTTTCTAAACCAAGTTAAGGATTTGGGGCTTTTCCCATTTTTTTTTGCAAGTCTGGAGCCGAGAAGGGTATGTTGAGTTCCATGTTTTAGAAAGAGCACCCAGTAGCTATTTATTGGAAGCAAGGGGATGGTTTAGGCAATGGACACCATATGCCTAGTAAACTTGCAAAATTTCAGAAAGAGACATGTTACTGGTTTGCTACTTTAAAGTTTCTCTTGGTGTTTTCTCTTTTACGTTGGCCCAGGGATTTCCTGGGCGCTTCTAAGAAACACTGGAGCCCACCCCTGCTGAAAGGGGAAAACAGGTCACATAGATGGGAAACTGTCATGTCTCCTTCTATCCCATTCATTCTTTCCCTGACATGGGGGTTTGGCCAACTCTGAGGTTGGGTGCCAGTTCCTGGGAAGGGTGATAGCTCTGGGTTCAGGCCTCTCAGGCCCCGGCTCTGGGGTGGGTGCTGGAGACACTCAGGCCTTTGGGCTTTCTCAGGGGCTCTGTTGGTGGTCTGTGCTGACATCCATAGTGAGGGGTGTATTAGCTGGGAGGAGGTTGGAGGAGGCAGGAACTGAGGAGGAAGAGTTGCCAGGTTTGTACGAGGTCAACATGTGTTTGAAGCCATTTAGAACGTCACTGAGAATGAAATTAGGTGATTTTTGTTTTTGTTTTGTTTTGAAGGAAAAATTCAGAACCTGTGACTCTTGTTCACAAGCACGTGGCTGGATATAGTCATTAGGAGTTTATGGAAAATGTGGTCAGTCCCATAAATCAGAGCTGAGGAATTCTTCAAGTCATCACTGTGTAAGACATGCAGGTCTGTAACGAGTCTGTTAAACTTATGTAAAACAAAGCAGAGGGAGCATGTGGACCAAACTATATTGTGGTCCTCCTCGACCCTAAATTTTTTTTTTTGTATAGCCATAAGGCAGCTTTGGATTCCCGCTCCTACTTCTTCTGTGACTGTTCTTGTGTAATTCCATGTGCCCACAGAGAAGTCTATGGCTGTCTCCATGAACACATGGACACAATTCTCTGCATCTGTTTGCCCCATGTATCTTGCAATTTTGGCAGGATTTCTATAAAGGAAGCTCATTTTAAAGTAAACTGAACAGTCATAAACTGTGAGAGGGCTAATAATATGTTCAAACCTATTCTGTCCTTAAAGACTTCCTATTCTTTAAATCTATTATTTTCTGTGACTGGGAATGAGAATTCAAGTTGGTATTGTGTTTCTCATTCAAATGATAATATGATAATATAGACTTCATTCAGAATTAGTAAAGAGGAAGAGTTTCAATTCAGGTGTGACTCATTAGAGGAAATTCTGTTTTCATTCCATTGTTCTTGGATTTACACAAACAGACTTGTGCCCTATATCCTATTAATGATTAATGGTTCTTATATCCTATTAATGATATTTCTTCTTATCCTTCCTCTTTCCAACACTCCTTCTACTTCTTCTGTTGACCCAGTTTGTGGATTTGTTTCTGCCAAACTGATCAGTGGGGAATGGAATGTTAACATATTTTAGGGGAGATGTTTTTCAGTTGCTCAAAAAGAAAAAAAAAAGGATTGTGCATGAAATCAATATGTTTTGTAACAAAATGGTACTGCTGAACCCTACTTCAGATATCTTTTTTTTTAATATTTATTTTTTAGTTTTTTAGGTAGCCACAATCTTTATTTTTATGTGGTGCTGAGAATTGAACCCAGTGCCTCACACATGCTACCACTTGAGCCACATCCCCAGTCCCTACTTAAAATATCTTACTATTGTTTTTCTTAATCTATTAGACAAGTCTCATGAATGCTAAAAATATTTCATTTTCCACAGAAAACAGATATATCATCTATAGGACCAAACACCCTCCCTGAGTACTAACGTTATAACCTATGTTCACTTCTGTTAATTGTAGAGTTTTCATTTTATAAGTTGCTATAGAAGTTGGTTCTAGTTGACTTTCACAGAAAAAAAAATACAAATTCCATATGCCATTAAGGGCCCAGTCGACCCAACACTTATATAAACTGGTTTCATAACACCTTCCTGTTGTCCCAGTTACAACTTGGAGCATAAACAGTCAGCTGGTCAGTAGTCTGCACAAACTATGAAACTTCAGATCAAATTCCCTCAACCTCAAAATGCCCATTGTCACCAGGTGCAAGAGACCTGTGTACCAGGCTTCACTCCACTTTGTTGGTGATGTCATATTGAAGGGGGCAAGGCAATGATGAGACATATCTAATACACACAGATTGCAATATGGCTTGAATTTGTGCATCAAGCATCCACAGACAGCAGAAGAGCACACCACAAATAATCATAATAATATTTTTCACCTATGGAGAGTTATTGAATGCTCAGCAGTGGGCCAGATTCATGAAGCATTTGTCACACTATGAAGCAGTTGTTGTTATCTGCTTCATAAAGATGAAATACCGAGAGGTTGGGTGATTCCAGTCAGGAAAAAGTGATTTTTCAATCCCAAGTTTGACTGATTTGAAAAGAATTCAAGGTTAGACAGCTTTATATTGCTTTTGGTTAAGTGGGCCTGATTCCCAAGGATGAGTATGGAAGATGCAGGTTGCTGGCAGTAGAGGCAGAATTTTGTCCCAAGTCTTGCTCTGTAATAATTGTGGAGGAGAGACTAGCTCTTACGAGAAGAAATAGCAATGCTATGATTTCAACGGAACTGAGGCTGCTTCCAGCATTGTTATTTGCTTTCCGAACCAGTACAAGTTATGTAACTTTCCTTGTCTGTTTCCTCATTTACAAAATGAAGGCATGGGCTAGATGGTTTCTAAGGTCTCCCTATGTCTCTCCTTTAAAACCACTTCCTAGTTGGAGACACTCCAAGCTTATCCCTATCAGTTCTGGATAAATCCACACCCAGGGTATTAGATCTCCCTATGGACCCAACACCTGCTGGAAAGTGGCAGGAGTTCTCTGTGGTCCTTATTCTGTCACCTGTTTGTGTGACACTGTCACTCTGTTCCTCGCCCCTGGCCAGTGTGACTCAGGATCAACAGGCTTCCCTCTTGGGACTGCCCAAAGTGTGGGCCAGCCCTGCTCTCTCACTCACTACATGAAAATCGAGAAGCTCTCAAGTTCTAGGAAGTTAAACCCCACATTTCTGTCTTATGAAAACCAGAATTTTGAAAATTAGTATCTGATTTGTCACAATATGAACTAATAGTTGGACTTATATACATGGAATTCTAGCTCTACCAAGACCGAGGAAGAGGACAAAACTGTGTGTGCATGCGTGGGTGTGTATGTGTGCGCATGTGCATTAGGACTAAGGACTCCTACCGTGTCTCCTGGCTGTGGCCGCATCACCGACACACGATCATATCCTTTTCTTAGTAGGACCCACAAGGCATCGAGTTTTCCCTGAAATAAAACAAATGCACCAAGATTAGATATGAAACAGACGAATTGCCGGCCACCGTAGACACTGGGCCTTCCTGTGCTTCTTGCCATGTGCACAGCACATCTCTGCCAGCTTAGTTGTGATAGGACTAGTGACTCGCAGGCTCCGTGATGTAGGAGGAGAAGAGACACACAAAAGATGTTCATGAAGAATACACCCTGAGACCTGGGTGTAGCCACTCATTTGCAAACACAAAGTTCATTCAGGCTCTTGGATTTTACCACATTTCTGGGCATATGTTCATATCACAGTCAGTCTTTTCAACTTGCATTAAAATTTCTTCTTCCTACTTGGTGTCTAAAGTTCATAGATAATGACAAATTCAGGAAAATTCCTGAGCATGGACAAGGCAAAGGCCCAGTGAAAGATCCTTGGGACACAGATCTCCTACTATTTTCTAGACAGTTAGTCAGGAGCCCTAGGCTCCAAAATAACCCTAGTGGGGAGGCATGTAATTAGCTGAAATTGGAAAGAACCAATATGTCAGGGCTGTTTTCAGTTCATGATAAAGTGACCCCTGCTCCCTGGAACCTGTGAATATGATACCTGACATGGCAAAAGGAACTTTGCAGATGTGGTTAAGTTAAGGATCTTGAGAGTAGGGGTTTCTCACATGGGCCCAATCCTGCCACATGGGTTTTTCAGAGAGGGAGACAGGAGGATCAGAGCTGATTCAACTTTGTAAACCAGCCCACCCACAGTGCTGTGTGCACCGATCATTCAGCTCCCTGACCCAGGAGGAGCCATGAGATGGAGCTGAAGAAAGACAATTTGGCTGTTGAAGAAGTGTATTAATTAATTCAGCAGAATTTTGAACCTGTATCATAGTGAAGGAACAGAAACCACTTAGATGTGTAGTACCAGGAGAAAAGCTAGTGAATTATGTTCAGTGCTTAAGAGCCCCTGGGTTCAATTCCTGGTACTGAAAAAACAAAACAAAACAACAACAACAAGAAGCAGAGGAATTCAGTGTGAGAAGGACTAAACCCAGTGTTGCCGGCTTTAGGGATAGAAGGGACCACAAGCCAGTGAGTGTGGCAGCCTCCATAACCTGGAATACACAGGGAAATAAATTTTCTCTAGAGCCTCTAAAAGGAACACAGCCCTGCCAACATCTTGATTTTAGCCCAGTGAGACCTGTTTTGAGGTTCTGATCTCTAGCACGGTGAGATGATGATTTGTATTGCTGTGAGCTTGTAGGGGTTGTTGTGTGTTTGTAGTAATTTGTTATAGCAATGACAGGAGACCAGTGCAGCCCTAATCACTAAAGCTAATGTGATTTGAGGGAGGTAAAGGGAATTGAAACTACGAGTGCTCTACCACTGAACTATACCCCTGGCCCATTTATTTTTTATTTTGAGACAGGGTCTCACTAAGTTTCCCCAGCCAGCCTCAAAATTGCAAGTCACGGGGATTACAGGTGTGCACCATTGTGCCTGCTGCCTATATACTTTCTATTACACCAACTGCTGATTCTGCCTCATGCAGATCTTCTGGCTGGAATGCTTTAATGTAAGTCTTTAGAACAGGGTTTCTAAACTGTGGGTTGCCACCCTTTAAACTCTCATGAGATCAATTTTTGGGTGTTAAGACTAGAATTTTTAAGAAATAAAATAAAATAGAATACGAGGGTTAATTGCACAGAGTGAGAATAAATGTTATTTTGGGAAGATTTTTTCTTCCTCTTAGTTTTGTGCATGTGTGATGTGTGTTTGTGTGTGTGTGTGTATAGGGGTGCCTGTGTGGCATAATCTGGATCAAAATGTAAAATATCTTTCCTACAGGGGTGTTAGGAATGTCTGACAACACTGATCTGGAAGAGATCTTTGGATGGCAGGCTGGGAAGCCTGTGGATGTCTTGAGAGTTCAAGTTCTACAACACAAAGCAATTATAGTGGCAGCATTAACTTCTCAATCATCTCAAAGACTTTATGTTCTGAAATAATTCTCAGGCAGATTCTACACACATCTAAAAACTATATTCCTGAAACCTTATCAACTGTTCTTCAAGCTCCTGTGGGTTAAACTTTATCTTGCCAAGTGCAGTGTTTCTCTCCTTTGAAAAGAAATTTACAAAAGCATTTGAAAATATTTTTGAAATGACTTTAGAGCACTGGCTAGAACAACTGCTGTGTTAGGCATGGTTTTCTGCATTAAATGATTTTTGGGGATAAGCATTTATAGTTCAGGATATAAGCAGGTGGGCTTTCTGGCTCCCCCCTCCACCTTTTTTGGGAGGGAGAGGGAGGGACTCCCAGTTCCCAGGATTTGACTTTGTAAACCAGCCCACCCACAGTGCTGTGTGCACTGATCACTTAACTCCCTGATAGAGGAGGAGCAATGAGATGGAGCTGAAGGAAGACAATTGGCCTGTTGAAGAGGTGTATTAATTAACTCAGCAGAACTTTAAACCTGTATCATAGTGAAGGAACAGAAACCACTTAGATGTGTAGCACCAGGAGAAAAGGTAGTGAATTATGCTCAGTGTTTAAGAGGTCCTGGGTTCAATTTTTGGTACTGAAAAAACAAAACAAAACAAAATAACAGCAACAAACCCCAAAAGCCTAAACTCCACAAATTGAATGAACTCTTTTCTCTCTCAACCTGCTCTTGCTTTTGCACACCCTGCCTTGGTTCATGGATGGGAATATTGGACATCAAAGGACCACTCTGATCTCTCTGACACCTCCTCATTTCCAAAACAGACTATGTCTTGGCTATGGTCTCTGTAGCAGCTCTGCAGTCATCTCGCCCTGTCCAGTCCCACCCCAGTCTGTCTTGACCCAGGTCCTCATCACCTGTCACTCATTCTGTGAAGTATTCTGATTGGGTCTTTTACCTCTAGGCTCCTTGTCCTCTCTTGTTTATTAATTAATATCAGATTTCATTGCTAGCCCAAATGGATGCATTGTGGTTAATAAAATAAACCAGGAACTATTACTAACAGAGTGAGTCTGGGCAAATATTTAACCTCTCCAGGACTTGGCTTTTCTATTTGCATTGCAAAATGAAAAGAGTAATGGTTTCTACTTTCAAGGCTTATTGTGAGAAATAAACAACTTGGAAGCACTTGGAACCTTACCCTACCTGCAGTGTGTGCATTAGGTGAGTCGTTGTCACTGGTAATTCTGGCCAAAGGGAGACTAGCTAGTTCCATTGTATCTTTGGTGTTCTGACTGTCCCACAGAAAAACCCTGGGTCCCTGGTCTGTGCTGCAGAAAAACAATGTGGGTAATCTACTCCTTCATCAGGTAGGAAGTAAGCTTCAGAGAAAGAAGGGTACAAAAAGAGGATAAAAATAACTGACGGAAGTCAAGGAGAGGGGCAGAGGCTCCAGGGGCCTTGGTTTTCTGAATGAAGACAGAAGTCTGTCATTTAAAGATAGTAGCATTTAAAGTGATAAGTGGGCTTATTCATAATATTCCTTTGAGGCCAGAAGTCTCTCAGGGGATTTTCCCCACTGGTTCCCATCTTTCCCTGCAGCCCGGGAGACGCCTTCTGGGTTGGTGCCACCTCATGTCTATCAGGTCTGGGTGCAGACCCTGCAGGAGCCACCTCCACAGGATGCGTTTCAGACACTGGTCCTCACTCCCAGGCGAAATGCCCAACTGCTTCTGTGACACGACAACAGAGATTTCTCCACAAATCTCGGAACCCTCTGCCAGAGTGTATTAAGATGACACTTAAAAATAGCTTTTTTTCCTATGAGGTTAATACAGTTTGACTGCAAAATGAAAAATTTACCCATTCCAGACTTCCACACTGTTTCTCACTTAGCTTCAGACAATAATTTCACAAAGACAAACTGGAAGTTGTATGTAAACTCTGGCTTTTGCTTCTTTCTCCACAGTAAGTCTGGGCTGGAGATGTTTATATGGCCATCATTCAAAGCACCCTGCTGCATGGGTGTTTGTGGCTGGGTTTCTTTCTTTTTTCTTTTCTTTTCCTCTTCCCAGCCCAGCAACATCTGTGTCTTCTCTTCTGGTGTGTCTGCCTTAGCTGGTTGGAAGTTAGCCAGAGATGGAGAATTTTGAGGGTGGTACAACTTATAGGGCCACTACCGACTGACCCATGAATTTTTTTAACCTTGAAAAAAACACCTGGTAGATAGTGTGACCCAGGCTCAAATGAAATTCATGAATACATTTAATGAATTCAAATTAATGGATAAGGTTGGAAGCTTTCCCTGCACATGTACACAGAGGGTCATTTTTTACTATTTTTTTTTACCCCCTTTGGGTCTTTTTTTAAGAAAATATTGGAATCATTCTAAAAAGTAGCCCAAGAGGGATGAAATCTGTTCACCATCAACAGCACATCTGACATTCAGTGCTTTGATATGTCTTGCTTAGCTACACACAGCTTCATCTAGTGCAGTGTCATGACGGAATGCTGCTTGACTACAAGGTCAAGGTCAGACTAGGGATCTGATGGGAAATAAATAAAGACCACCCGGCTCCCAGGCCCTGCACGTGGGACAAGCCAACCCTGCCCCTCACAGTCTGCCTATCTTGTAGGGAAAAGCCCGCCCTGCCTGGCAGGGCAGGTTCTGGCTTTTGTCCTTTGGCTGTCATTTCTGTCACTTCCAGTCATGTGAAGAAGCTACTGGAGAAGGAGAAAAATGGTTTCTCTGAAGACTACAAGCCTTCCAACAAACCTACAGTTGGTTCTGCTTTTAATCTAGCTGGTGGCCATATACACAGGCATGACTTAACTTGTCTAAAATGATCAGTCCCAATTTAATGAGAAGCACGGGGTGTTATAAATCCAGGGGGTGAAAACCCAAGCAAAGGAAAATGCAGGCTAACTGTCAGGGAAAATTTCCTGATCATGAGCCTGGAATGAGGATGGGGGAAGTGTGGTTGTTGTGGTCAGTGCCTTCAATTAGACTGGGGGACGGTGGGTGGAAAAAGAGCCCACTGTAGCCTCTTCCCTCGCTCAGGTCTCACTGGGCATCCTCACAGAAACTGTGCTCACCTGACAGTTCCTGGAATACACGAAGGAAATAAGTCCAGGGCAATCCTGTGAGATGTAGGATTCTGGTTACTTTTTCTGGGGAGCATCTAGGAATCTTCCCAGGGCCTGCGGAAAGTTTTGCTAGATGGAGATGTTCTCCCCAATTAGAGGGAGTGAAAGGTGGGCACAGTGTAGATAGATCTTTCTCCATGAGTTGCCTGTCCCTATCATTTATCTGAATTTCTCTGTCTTCCCTGCTCCAGGCCTTGGAAACCTGCCTCTATATCAATGGGCTTCCTTTGGCCAATAGGTGGCACTGGACCCAGAAAGAGATGAGAGCAAGCTGAGGTGCTTATTCCTCCTGCCCCTTCCACCTCTTCAGCAGTGGCTACAATTGTATGAGGCCATGGATCTGAAAACATTTTCTAGAAAGGGCCAGAGAGGAAAGACTGTAGGCTTTGTAGGTCAAGAGTCAAAGCTGAGGATATTATATAGCCCCCCATATAATACTTGACAATGTCAAAACCATCCTTTGCTTGTGGGCATACATCAGGTGATGGGGCAGGGTTAGATTGCCTATTCCTGCTTATGGCATAGCTCCAGATGGGTGCTCTCTTCTCTAGAGCTGTGGCTGTCACTGGGCTCTAGTGTCACCATATCCTCCTTGCCCTACAGGCCTAGGGTTGCAAGAGATCCTGTTGCTAGGGCCTAGGGTCTCTCTACCTCTATGAGGTCTTTAACCCTGCCTACCCTTTGTTAGCTCAACCATTTGGAGGGTGCCTTGTTTCAACACAGCACTGTGATGACCTCTGTGAGAAAGTTCAAGAAGGGAGAGCAGAATTATGGCCACATGAGGTTAAATGTTTTGTCCCAGGGGCTAGCAAGTGACATAGGCACTGTAGCTAGAACAGGGCTCAGCATAGAGCATGTGTCTTGTTAAAACTATACGGGGCTGAGGTTCTGATGGCACATCTGTCTTTTTTCCAAATCAAGAGTTCACATTATTACTTAAAAAAATATTTTGTTTTAGTTGTAGTTGAACACAATACCTTTATTTTATTTTTAGGTGGTGCAGAGGATCAAACTCAGTGTCCCACAAGTGCTAGGCGAGCGCTCTACCCCTGAGCCACAACACCAGCCCCCACACAATTACTTCTGAATTCTTTTCAGCACTTCTATTCTTCTTGTTCCTGCCTTTCCTCACGCACTCAGCCCAGATAAACATTAAATGACCTCTTTTTCTCCTCCTTCCTCCAAGATGGCAAGAGGAATGTCACCTTCCTGGACAGAGAGTATTAATGTGAGCTGTGTGGTTGGGCTGGGAGGACGCTCTGGGAGTGGTTTCATAATTATATTGCATGCTTCAGCTCTTTAACAAGGTTTGGTGGAGTTCCTCTCTCTGCCTGGCACAGTGCTGTTTACTGAGGCTTCAAAGCATAATTAATTGGTGCCTGCCAGGGGTGAAATCTGGTGGAGAGAAAGCTCATAAACCTGAGTAATCACAGCAATGGCTCTCACCCATCTCCCACCTAGCAGAAGTAGGTACATGACAAACCTCATTGAACCACTATTAATTCCAAGAGGATGTTGGGAATGTTTTGGGATTTTTTTTTTGATATGGGGAATTGAACCCAGGAGCCCTTAACCACTGAGCCACATTTCCAGCTGTTTTTTGTTTGTTTGTTTTTTTAATTTTATTTAGAGACAGGGTCTTGCTGGGTTGCTTAGGGCCTCACTAAATTTCTGAGACTGGCTTTGAACACACGATCCTCCTGCCTCAGGCTCCCAAGCCACATGTTTTTGGATTTCTAAATGTTTTTGACCATATCTTTATTTATTTCAGGAAGCTCAGTCCTAAACTACCAGTTAACAGAGGAATAACATGCACTCAGGCAGAAAGTGGCTTCTTCAAACAGAATTCATGTTCTCTCAACATGCAAGATTATAGAAACACAAATTCAGCTATGACCAAAGATACCGTGTTAGTCACAAAGTACAGATTCCTGAAAACAACATAATAGAAAATTCCCTCTCTTCTTCATCTCCGAGAATCTCCTCGGCTCCTTCCTGTCTGAACATGTACGCACGCCACTGCATGTTCCCCATTAGAAAAGAATCAGGAGCAAACAGCTGTTCTTCAAGCAAGTTGTTTCTCGCCCACATCTTCCCAGAGTTCAGCCCACTGCCTCAGGGGGAATCTTATCTTAAAAAAGAATCTCACTGCTTTAAACATGGCAAACCAAAGTGGAAATGCATTGCAATTCGTGGTGAACCCGAGTGAACTTGGCTGAGAAAAAATGACTACCAATGAAGTTTTCATTCCACTGTTGGAAATGGTATTTCTTTTGATTTTGTAAGAGAAGTGCTGATCCAAAATTAGCAAATAACTTAGTGGATGATAACAATTATTTTTGTTGTCATTCGGCAGGGGTAAGTCTGTGTGTGTGTGTGTATGTGTGTGTGTGTGCGCGTGCGCGCACATGGGGTGGCTTGGGAGGCTGGCTCTCATACCCTTCCACATAAGGTTCTGGAGTGGGCCCAGTCTGTTTGGAGCATGGAACTAGAGGCTGTGGCCTTGAGCTTGGCCCTTGAGTTCTAGCCCCCAGCACAGCATGGACTTTGCCTATCTCAGTTTTCTTCTCTATGAAACGAGGGCATTGTGTCTTTTCAATGATATTTTCTAGAGCTTTCTGAGAACTGGCACAGATGCTTAAGGACAAGGGTGAGAGAAGGGTTGATCCAGTTATGTGAATTCAAAGCCATTTGCAACCTGGAGACAAAGAGGCCCTCAGGAAGCATTAACTGCTTCCTGCAGCTTAACCTTCCCAGGAAGCCAATGAGGATTTTAAGATCTGGAGCTGTGGGGGGGGGGGGAAGGAAAATGATAGAAAACTTTCAAAGGAGATTTGCTCTCAGCCAGGAAGAGCGAGTCCTAGAGGGAATCATCTGGAGTCAGGAGAGACCTACCTTGATGGGAGAGTACCACTTCCGGGGCGAAGAGGGCCGGCGCATATTGTTGTTGAGATTTCGAGGCTCAGGGAACTCATACTCCTGCTCCGGCATCTTGACTCTCGCATTCTTTGCCTTTTCTAACTTGGCACCTTCTTCTGTGGATCCCTTTTCTCCCCAACGAACCTAATACAAATAAAATATAAGAAGACAAAGTGAAAAAATAAAATAGGCTGCTCTTGGGGAATAAGGCTGACAAATAACCATGTGATGTGCCCTGCATGTTCGACCCATGCCTCATTGCTTGTGGGTTTTGAGGGCCAGGGAAGAGGGGGGCTGTGGAAAACAGAAGGAGAGTGGAAGGAACAGAGAGCCCAAGCCATGCGTGTGGATATTTAGGGGAGGAACTGTCCTGGCAGTGGGAGAGCATGTGTAGAAGGCCAGGCAAGGCTAGGCAAGAACTTTGGATGCTATTTTAGTGAGAAAAGAAACCAGTGGGGGAACTTGTCCTATGTGTGACCTTGCTCTGACTCACGGGGGTAAGATGGGGAGGTGCGCAGTTAAAAGGTTGCACCTCTCATCTCTCCATCCTCCTGCCTCACAATCCACTTCCCCACCAGACTGAAAGCAGGAGTTGTCGCCATTTGCTTTGGGTCCCCATCATGGTGTAGACAGAACGAGGATGAGTATGCACCAAGCTGTCCTCTTACCTCCATCCTTTTAATTCCTCCAACGCCTCGCCCACCATAGTAAGATGCATCTACTGTGGGCCATTTTTTCTTAGGTAGACCATCATCATCTTCTTCCTGCAGAGAGATTGTGATACATGAAGGACAAGGCACTGTTCCATGTGTCTGGGTCCACTATGGCAAGGTGGGGGTGGGTGGGAGCAGAGGTTGTGGAGTACAGGGCTAAATCCCAGCGCTTACTGGGATCCTGGGAAAATCACATAACCTATCCATATGCATTAAAAAAATAAATAAATAAAAGCAGGCCTGCCAGGGAAGGCTGGGATGCACTCCCGGGACCTGTTTTCCTCGGCAGCTCCATTCCTTTGAAGGGTGCTATGGTCTGAATGTGTCCTCCAAAGTTCATGCGTTCACTCCCCACTGCAAGAGTGTTAGGAGGTGAGGCCTAACAAGAAGTAATTAGGTCAATAGGGCTGTTCCCTCAGGAACAATGTCATCTGGAGAACAGGTTAGTTATCACAAGAGTGGCCTTTTTAGGCGAGTTGGGCCTCCTCTTGCACATACTTTCTTGCCCTTCTAACTTCTACCATAGGATGACATAGTAAGAGAGCCCTCATCAGATGTGGGTCCCTTGACCTTGGACTTCCCAACCTATAAGTCTCTGGCACTATTCAAAATGAATTTCTTTTCTTTATAAATCATCCAGTCTCTGGCAGTCTGTTACAATGGCAGAAACCAGACCAAGATAAAGGGCTTCTCATCTTATCTTGCCTACATACTCTGAACTCTTAATGTGACTTCATATTCATGTCTTCTCTTGAGAGCTAATAAACATCTCAAGGACATTAAGGCAAAGAGAAATCCTGATTTCCCCACCCAAACCCATTCCTCCTATCATCTTCCCTACTGCCTGAGAATCACTCTTGAATTCTCCCTTTCCCTCTGCTACCCCTTTTACACCCCATCCCAGTTATCAGCTGGTTCTGTCAATCCTACTTGTAAATGATCCCTCCACCTCTGTCTCCACCTCCACCACCCTGGGCACAAGGCCATGTGAACTTTCATCTGGATACAGTAGAGTCCTCCTAACGAACCAAGCTGCTGTCTTCCTACTTGTCTATAATCCATTGTCTGCACAGCAGCATAGCAAGTCCAAACTCTGTCTGCTGTGCCTCTGCTCACCCTCCAGCCTCTCCCCCACCAGCATCCTCTGCCTACATTCTAGCCCACTTGCCATTTTCTGCTCTTCAAATACTCTGAGCACACTCCTGTCTCATGGGCCTGAGCTCAAACTGTCCTCTTGTCAGGGAATGCTCTTCCCTGTCTTCTTTCTGGTCACTGCTTAGAGAGGCCTGGACATTCTTCTAAAAGTAGCCCCAGCCTACTGGTTTAATTTAATTTATTTTATTTGGTACCAGGGATTGAACTCAGGGAACTCAACCCCTGAGCAACATCCTCAGCCCTATTTTGTATTTTATTTAGAGACAGGGTCTCACTGAACTGCTTAGCACCTTGCTTTTCCTGAGGCTGGCTTTGAACTCCTGATCCTCCTGCCTCAGCCTCCCAAGCTGCTGGGATTACAGGCATGCACCACTGTGCCTTGCTACTGGTTTTATTTTTAACTTTGGATCCTATCATGGTTTGAAGTTTTCCTTGTCAATCTCCCCACATTAGAAGGTAAGTTCCACATAAATTTTGTTGGTTGTGTTCACTATCACAGGGTGCTCCAGGGATTATGATGGGATACATTCAGATACACCTACAGTGAGATGGAAATCTTGAGTTGAAAATGCATCTAACACACCTAATCTACTGCTCACCACAGCTTGGCGGCACAGTGCACTGTAGAGTAGTGACATTTCCCCTGGTGATCGTGTGGCTGACTTGGAGCTGTCACTCGCTGCCACTGCCCACATTATAAGGAACTATCATATTGCATATGGCTAGCCAGGGAAAGATCCAAACTCAAAATTTGAACTACAGTTTCTACTGAATGTGTATCACTTTTGCATCACTGTAAAGCTGAAAAATTGTAAGTTGAACCATTGTAAGTTGGGGACCATCTATTATCTCTGCTCTTGGAATAGCACTACTTATCTGTTGAATATGTAAAGAAAGAAATAAGATGCTTCAAACAAAGCAGCCAAGTCAATGTCTGTGACTTAGCTCAGGGGCAGAAAGTTGGTCCTTATATCTTTTAAGATGAAGGGTGAAAACAAGAGGATCATGTAGTTTTATGGGTGGAAAGGGAAGGATAACTAGCAAAACTGCTATTCATCTTGTCGCTGTAATTACCCCTGTTGAAGGAGAAAAGTGTCACTATTCATAGTCACAGATGGATTATGAAGAAGTGCCTGATTTTTCTCCTGGGCAGAGAAAGAAAGGTGAAAAGGAGGTTTGTAAAACACAGGAAATGAGCCAAAGAGGATCAAATTGCTCAAAATGCCTAAGCCTGCTTCTCACAACCTTGGTGGGTGGCATTTGGGGAATCACACTCAGGGTGGAGTCCTATATAAGGCCACCACTGTGTGAAGAGGGGCATTTTACGCTGGATGCAAGGCACAAAGCAAGAAAAAGCAATCAGCAGAAAGGGCGGGGGTCAGGGCCAGAGGTTCCAAAGCAAGACGGGAACACATTAGCACATTGAGACTCCTGGAGTCAAGTGCTGTGCTTGGGATTGTCTGGCTTCTTTAATTTTTTTTTAGAATAAATTTAATATATATTTTTTGTTGTTCTGGGGATTGAACCAAGGAGTTCTTTACCATTGAGCTGCATTCCCCACCTCTTAAAAATTTTGAGATAGGGTCTTGTTAAGTTGCTTAGGGCCCCACTAAGTTGCAGAGGCTGACCTTGAACTTGTGATCCTCCTGCCTCAGCCTCCTGAACTGCTGAGATTACAGGTGTATGCCACCGTGCCCAGCTTTAAATTTAATATATATCTTAAAGGACACAGTGATCATAGCAGACTAGGAGATTTGCCACACTTGGGTATCTTCCTCTCTTTTCCAAATAGATCTGTACTTCTTCCCCATGGGACTGTGGTCCCTGATTGCAGAGTAGATTTTCTTGACCTTTGTATTCTAAGTGCATGGGAGGTGCTCAAAAAACACACACTGAATTCATGATCACACTACTGAATTTATGCAGCCTTTACCATTTATGTGCCAATCACTCTTCTAAGTGTTTTCATGTAACTATTTAATCTCACCACCGACCAGGGAGAAAGGCAGTATTATTATTTGCATTTTAGAGACTATGAGTAGTGAGGTTCAGTGACAGGTCACTCAGCTTTCAGTGCTGGATTTGAACTCTGGCAGCCTCACTGCAAGTTCTGGGTTTGGTCCCTTTGTGTTTTGCTTTTTCCCATCATTTGTTGGTATCAGATAAATGCTGATTTTCTACTTCTCAATCCTTGTACCTGCCTATTGTGATAATTTATGACTACAAAATATGACAAAATAAAACTAAGACCTCCCAAATAATAAAATACCAGTTGAGTATTTTACCTTCTGCTCTACTTTCAGAAGGTTTCTGTCAAAGCAGGAATCTTATATATCTTACAGATATGGCTTCACATTACCAGTAAAGGTGGACATATAGCTCTCTGCACGGATACATAAACAATAATAGTGTGAATCCACAGAGCCTGGCATCCCTGATTTAGGACAGTTTACTGAAAGAGATAACAGAAGTGCTATCTCCTACAATAGAACACATCAGCAACAAGAATGTAAGAAAGTGCAAGAAGTCCCCCATTATTCAATAGGTGACTGAAATGAACATGAGTCTCCTAATTTTTTAGATTACAGGAATGCAAACATCAGAGACCATCTAGGGGGCTTTTTCATTGCACAGAAGATGACTATAAGAGCTAGAACAACAGAAGTGACCGATATAGGGGTCTCCTGAGCCTTGTCCAGGGATAGCACCCAGATGCTGACACCCCCCGCCCCCATACTTTATTATGAACTCCAAGAACGATTTAGAATGATTTTTCCTCTAATTCTCAAACTGCCTGAAAGCTTAGTTATAATAACAAGCATAAAGCTGCCTTCCTTGCACACCACAGAGCCCCTCCACTCATCTCTCCACTCTCCAGTGGGGCGGGGCCCTGGGGAAGGAGGGCGGGTCATCCCTGTGAGCATGCGCAGGGCCAGCTTTCACAACAGGAAATGCCTAGATGTAAAAAGTCTGCTCCACATGCTCCTGATCACCAAGCCCATCCTTTAGTCCTCTGGCCACAGCTTGCCTGCCAAATTCAGCAACAACAAGCACAAATCAACACAAAGGCCTAGGGTTTGACCAAGGGGAGAGTCAGAGTTTCCTTTGCAGCAAGCATGGGTCTGTTTACACATTTTGGAGAACTGGAGGGTTTTGCAATCCCCAGGAAGGGTAGGAAATCTTTGATGTTTCTTTTCATTTGACCAAAAATTGATGGAATAAAATTTCAGACCCCAGCAAGTCCACTATAACAATCAGTAATACCTGAGGGTGAATTTCTACAACTAAGTAAATTAGAAAGCCTCTTGGTACATTTCCCCCACCCTGCCTTTTAAATATGTATCTAGAAATTCTCAGTTTTCTCTCAAATCTCCCTCCCCATCTCTTTCTTTCTTTCTCTTTTAAGCAAAACAAAACAAAAACAGTTTTGATGTCCTCAATGGGTACTGGGGACAGGACTGGCTAAGACATATTGTTTTATATGAGCAAGTAGCAGGAATCTGGGGTTTGGGCAGAAGAAGAGCAGAAAAGAGTGGAACTGAACTACCAGCTAACTGCTAGGGGACACTGGCAGAGGTGACCTAGAGTCCCTCCCAGTAGTGGGAATGACAGGGACAGAAAAGGTTGTCAGAAGTTATGTGCTGGCTGCACTGTGTGGTCACCCTGCCCCATACTTTGGTGAAAGCCCCTCTGTAGGGCTGGGGTTTGCCAGACGGTATCTCGCAAACTGGGGAGATGACCTAAGGCAGAAGCTGCAAGGAGTAGAAGTCAGTGGTGCCTGGGAGAAACCGCAGGACCGGGGAGGGATGCTGGTTTCCCAACAGGGGAAGTTGAGTTTAAATCTTAAAGGATGTGGTGGCCCCACATTGGCTAATGTTTGGGTAACACAAGTGGCA